ATCGGTTCCTTCATAAGTTACTCTTAGTTTTTCCCACATCTCTTGAGCACTTTTACAAAAAGAGATCCTATAAAACTCATCAAGGGTTAGAGCAAATGAAATAATGTTTCTAGCCCTAACATCAAATTGTGCTTTTCGACTTTCGTCTGCAGTCCATCTAGAAAAAGGTTTAAGAACGTCAACACCGTTCTCAGTAGTTTTAGGAACAAATGGACCGTTTAAAATAGCGTCCCAAATGCCTCTATCAACAGACTCTAAAAATATTTGCATACGTACCTTCCAGAAAGGATAATTTTGACCCGCAAAAAGTGGGGGTCTGTTGATAGACGCACCTTCGGCAAAAGTTTGATTTTGTCCGGCCATTTTCGAAAATTTGAATGACTATCAAAGCAAGCTCTGATACCACTTGTTAGAATCGCGCAGCGGAATGTTCGCGTGGTCGAACAAAAACCAAGAGGGGGGTGAATTGGTTTCTTAATAAAAATTAGGTTTTCAAAATTTTCCCCAAATTTTACCGATTAAAAACTGTGTAAATGTAAATAGAGAAAAGGATAGAAATCTTACACAGGAGATTTATACTGGTTCGGATCAAAAGACCCTACGTCCAGTTGCTAATCACTCAACAGAGGATTAACGCTGTCACTATAAACAAATTGTTACAATACAAATTACAATCGAAGAGATAAAGTAAAAGATAACACCTCTCTTGAAACCCACAAGAGATGAAGAACATCTTTCCCCAGAGACGGCACAACACACAATCCACTAAGAACTCCACTTAGTGATTCTTATCGCTTCTAGCCCACACCAGGTTCAGAAAGCCTCCTTTCCTTGCAACAAACAGTTCTCTGGCACTCACAGCACTTAACTTTTGTATGGAAAAGGTTGTTCTTGATTTCTGAGTGCCAAAGGAGAGTTTAAGTAGGGAAATTAGGGTTTAGGATTTGGGGATTTCGAAACTAGGGTTCTTGGTAATTGGGTTTTCGAAAATAGGGTTTGTTTGAAGTTTAAAATCAGAAACAGACTGGAATAATCGATTATTTGGAGTAATAATCGATTAAAACAGAGCCAAATACGTCAGAACCCAATACTCTCTGGTTTAATCGATTATTTGGTGAAATAATCGATTATTCGTACTGAACTGTATGCGAATAATCGATTATTTTGCTGTTTAATCGATTAAAGCGATGAGTTTGTATAGAAAATGGTTTTCTCACTGTTTTAATCGATTATTTACCTATTTAATCGATTAAAGCCGAGCTCGAATGATAAATTTGAGCTTTTTGAAGCTTCTAAGTTACGGACTATGTACCGGCTATCTTAGATTCTATAATTACAGACTCAATCAAACTAAAACAGAGTTATTACAATACAGAAATCATCAATCTTCAATCTTCAATACTCTAAGTCTTTAAGCTCTTGGATCATCATCAAAATCAACATTCTTCATGATCATTATTTGCAACATCAAGTCCTTGAATGTTCAACACAATTGGTTATGATACTAGAAGAGAAAAATTATATTACTTAGATCTATAAAAATAAAAATAAAAATCTGATTGAGTTACAACAAGTTTTAACATTTGATAATTCTAAGAGAAAAAAATGAATTTAGTTGTGTAATTGGCGCCTTTATCATACATCATTTTGGTATTTAAAATATTATTTCTTACTTTATATTAAAAAGCATGACTTTTCTAGTTTTAATTGTAATGTTTGTGAATTAACAAAGAGTCATAAAATTTCATATCCATTAATTTTAAATAAAATTCATCAACATTTTATAGTGACACATTTTAATGTGTGAGGTTTATCTAAAATCCAAACTTTAGGTGAATATTGTTGATTTGTTATTTTATTGATGATTGCATAACAATGACTTGGTTGTATTAATAAAATGAAAAAATGAGGTAAGTTTATTATTTAAAAATTTCATAAAATGATTATAACTCAATATAATGCTCAAATTCTAGTTTTATGTAGCATTAATGATGAAAAATATAAAAATTGTGAGCTCCGATAATATTTATAAGTTAATGGAACTATTAATCAAACTACCTATCTGAATACACTTTAACAAAGTGAGATTGTTAAGAGAGAAAAATGACATAATTTAAAAGTTGTTTGTGCTTCATTAATTGAAATACACATGTCATTATGCTATTGGGAGAAACTCTTATTTTATTAGTATATTTAATAAATTTGATTCCCTTAAATTCTATTGAGTTTAAAACACCTTTTCAAACCCCTCATAATTTAACTAACATTCCAATAGTTCCTAATTTACCCCTCTTGTATTTGAATGTGTTGCATTTGTTCATCTGCATAAGCATCAACACAACAAGTTGTCCTCATGAGCCATTCAATGTATTTTTATGTGATATGTTATACATAAAAAAGGATATAGGTGTTATCATCCTCTATCTAATCGCATCTATATAATAACGGATATGATTTTCCATGAAAACACAATGTATTTTTTCTTTTGAATATAATTTTCAAGGAAGAAAACAATAACAAATCCACGAAATTCAGACTTTGGAGTACAAAATTAATATTCTAGAATATGGTACAATTTCATATTATCACCCTTCAGGAGATGAAGCAAAAGAAACTGATATTGGATTATAACAAGCATCTTGAGAGTTGACATTGAAGTTCCATATGAATCTCGTGTTAAAGATAATGTTGAAGCTCCACATTAATGTCTTGCTGGAGATAATATTGAAGTCTTATATGAACCTTTTACTAAAGATGTTACTAATCATTTATTGGCTAGAAAATAATTGTCAAATCATCTCACGATAGGTATTTTTAAACCTACTTATGAACCAAAACTCCCTAGTAATATTAAATATCCTATGAGTCATTATCTATCTAATCATATATTATCATAAATAAATAAAATATTTATAAATAAGTTATTTCTTGTAGTTATCCCTAAGAATTTGCAGGAAGCTTTAGCTAATCCAAGATGGAAGGTTGTTATGAATAAGGAGATGAACTCATTTCAAAATGATATTTAGACTTTGGTTGATTGTCCACCAAGAAAGAAACAAGTTGGATGCCAGTGGATTTACACTATAAAATACAACACAAATATAACAATATGAAGATATAAAACAACACTATTGTAACAATGGCCATCAACGACAGTTAAATTTGACCTACCACGCCGATTTAGGACCCGTCGTTGTATGCAATAGATACAACAATGGATCTTTACCCATCGTTGTATGTGACATACAATGATGGTTATTTATAAAGACTTGTCATTGTATGTGACATACAATAACAATCATTTATAAATAATCGTCGTTATATCCTTTACATACAATGACGAGTTTGACCAAACCCGTCATTGAAACCTTGCGTCAAGCATGCATATGACGATGATTATGGTATTAACCATCATTGTATCTTGGGTTTTTTTTTTTTAAAGACCAATATGTTTTAGGCTCTTTCCCAATACCTTCATATTCAAAATACACAATACAGTACAATACAGATTTTAGGTATATTTTTAATACATACAGAATCATATATATATACAATTCTTACTGTCTAATATTAGTTATACTAAAATCCTACAATGTACTTATAAATCTTACAAGTATAATTAGTAACTATCTTAAATGTACAAGAATAATAAGTCAATTATCCTAAATGTACAAGAATAATAAGTCAATTATCCTAAATGTACAAGAATAATCAGTCAATTATCCTAAGGTTCAACCATAAAGTCATGATCATATGCATAGTATCATTTTAACAAAAACTAAGTTATCATAATGTATTAATCATGTTGATGAAGTTTGTTGCCCATGTATGTCTAATATAATCTATGGCATCTATATCCATGGGAGATGTGTCCATAAAAAACTACAATATGGTAAATAAATTTTCATAAGTATCATTATGGTACCTAATCATTTTTAAATAAATATTAATTGTCTTACCTGATCTCAAAATATCCTACAAATTCATCCATTGCATTACATAGTAACCATATTCATATCCTCCATATTTTCTGTTACAGTGTTTCTCAAAATACAGAACTTAAATTAGTTTGTTAGTAAAAAAATTAAACCAAAATAAATATAATAGATTATACCTTTAGATGCAACCACGAGTTTTTATGGTCTTCCACTTGACCTACAACTCATTATATTATATCCATAATAAGATACACTTAGTTAAAACATATATAAAAATATAATTGTAATATAACTTCTATAAAAATAACCAAATATTTTTACCAATCGGTTATTTGTTTAAGGTATATTGGTGGATTTTGATGCAATGAAAAAAAACCATGCAATTGTGTGTCAATCATAGATATGACAAGCAATTGCCAATGATAACTATATATTGAAACATATTGAAGTTAGTTAAAATTGGAATTAGTTAAAGAGAAATTATGAAGAGAAATTACTTACTCATAAACATATGGTGCAAAATAAATCTATTTTCCCGATAAGAGACTATTTGTGATGTATGTTTGTGTCTCTAGCTTCTTATTACCCAGTGGTTGAATGAGTTGAGGGTCTAAAATTCCATACATTTCATCTTTCCTCTCATTGACACATAATTGGGATAGATACATACAATAAGTGACATAATAATTAATATTTCAATAACTAAAATTGTAAGAACTTTAGTTTAAATAACTTACATCACCCCCAACTGCATAGCAAATATGTTAAGCTCTAGATTTCCTATTGCAATCTCTAACACGTCAGACATGTGTAAATATACTAGGATATCACTCTCCCTTGCAAAAAGGGTAGAATCGCATGGCACCTCAACTAGATTATTACAAATGGCCCTAGAAACATCCAACAATGAAGAGAAAGGGTTGCTAATATTGTATTCTTCTTTTTTCCATCTTTCTAACGTCGTGACTGCACATAAATAACATTAATATTAAAACAATAAAATAAGTAAGAATCTAACATAGGATTGTTATTATCATACCGTGTTGTCTGATATGGGACTAACTAGATGTCTAGGACAACAATGAAAGTTTGAAGTGTCTGTGCTATAGTAGTAACCTCATCTATTGGCACATGCACAATAACACTACCATCACAAACTTTTTCGATAATGACCTTAACCAAATGAGTAGGAAGAAGTACATTATGTAATATACTGACCTTTTCAAACATCTTCCCGAATGTCACCAACATAGTGGACCACACAATCTTATTTTCTCTTTTTTTGACAAAGTATAATAATTGGGGGCAAATATGTGCATCTTCTTCCCATTATTGGTGCTAACTCCTCTTGTATCTTCATTTCAATCAAATCTAAACGAGCATTGACATCATCCTTTATCTTCCCCTTGATGTTCAAAAGTGTTCCAATTAAGCTATCACATACATTTTTCTCCACGTGCATTACATCAATACAGTGTCAAAAATTAAGCTTACCCCAATATGGTAGATCAAAGAAGATAGACCTTTTCTTCCAGATGTCAGTTATAATTGATTTTTTTTCTTTTTCCCAAACACAACATTAATATCCTTCACCCTTTCATAAGTCTGACCACCAGTTAACGAAGTTAGTGCTTCTTCATTCTCTTGATGTTTGTTAAAAGATTTTCTCAATCTACTATAAGGGTGAAACATTTTTAGAAATCTCTTATGTCAAAGATAAACTGTCTTCCTACCATATTTCAATTGCTTATAACTAGTATTTTCTTCAACAATGGGACAAGGTTTATGACCCTCTACAATGTAACCTAAAAAATTTCCATATGCAAGAAATTCATTGATAGTTCAAAACAACATGACATGCATCTTGAAAGACTCACAGGAAAATCCGTCAAACACTTCAACCCCTTCATCCCATAATAGTTTCAAATCTTCAATCAATGGTCTAAGATATACATTTATGTCATTTCCTAGTTGTCTTGGACCCGAGATCATCATAAACAACATCATGTATTTACGCTTCATACACAAGCTTGGAGGTAAGTTGTAAATAAATAGAAAAACAGGTCAGGAACTATGATTAGTACTTAGATTACTAAATGGATTCATTCCATCAGTAGCCAATCCAAGTCTAAGATTTCTTGACTCAACACCAAATTTGGGAAACTCATTATCAAACTCTTTCCATTGCATAGAGTTAACTAGATGACAAATCAATCCATCACATGTCCTCCCATCTGCATGCCATCTAAGGTTTTTAGCGTCTTTAGGATTCACAAGCAAACGCTTAAACCTTGGAACTATTGGAAGATACCTAATGGACTTGGTAGGGGGTCCCTCAATAGTAATGCACTCACTACTATCTTGATTATTATCCTTCACTTTGTAACGAGATAACCCACAAATTGGACGTCTTTTCAGTTCTTCAAAGTCATTTCTATATAAAATACAATCACTGGGACATGCATTCATCTTTTTATACTTCATACCCATTGGACAAAGTATCTTTTTTGCCTCACTTATGATTGGGTAATGTATTCCTTCTAGAAGCATTTCCCTCAACAACTAAAGCAATTAAGTGAAACTTTTATCATTCCATCCATTCATTACCTTCAAATTTACCAATCTTAAAACTGCTAACAACTGTGTGAAGTTACTTGAACCAAGATAAAGTGGAATTTTTGCATCACTTCACATATCTTCATACACATGCGCTTGAGCAAAAGATTCTACTCCAACATCACGAATCATGTCCTCTAATCGATCATCCATGGTTGTATCAACTAAACCGTGATAAGATTCATTTACATATGACAAATCTAATAGTTCACCATGCCATGTACAAATTGTGTAATATTTAAGAAAACCATCACATAAAAGATGCTTCCTAATTTGCTTAACATTTAATAATATTTAATTAAGACAATTAACACATGGACACCTAAATCTTCCATAAGTAGAATTAGTCGAAGTGTTCCGTTGTGCAAATAATAAAAATTCTTCCACTCATTTCTCATACTCATCAGTTATGCAGACACAATTAATCTAAATTTTATCCATTTCTAGATTTTGTAATGCATACACAACTACATAATTTAGTTAACAATATAATTTGCTAGGGATCGGACATCTTAGGACTCAACACAAATTCTTTCAAAAAAATTTCTTATAATTATTAATCATCATAATTCTAACTCTAAACCAATCCATACATTAATCAAGACAGATAAGTTACATACTAGAGAGGAAGAATGAGCTCTCACTGACTGCCACCAAATAAGCTCACAGACCACCACGAGAGGAGCATGGCGACAGGGAGAGCGAGAGGCGAGAGGGAGAATGCAGGGTGCAAGGAGATGTAGGACATAGGTAGACGACCGACAACGAGGGAGAGCGAGAGGGAGAAGGAGATGCAGGGAAGTGATGTAGTGAGTGAGATGGAGAGAAGGAGAGGGAGATGCAAGGAGGAGGAAGGAGGACGCGACAAAAGTGATGGAGGAGGGTGAGCGGGAATAGGTTTTGAGAAGATATGACAATAGTTATTAGTAATAATCATTGTTGTATAGGACATACAACGAAGGTTAAAATATAACCACTGTTGAAAAGGTGATGTCGCCAATATTCAATGATGGGTTTTTAATAACTGTCATTATATGTTTTATATGATGATTATTAAATAACCATCGTGACATAGTTACTCTTATTTTCAAAAATGTTACTGTGATGGTTTCGATGAAGACCCTAAAATAATCGTCATCAAAAGACATCATCGTTTTCCATATCTACATTAGTGTAAGGCTAGAGGTAAAAATTATACCTAGATATATGAGATTAATTGTCTAAACACATTTGTTCCTTTAACAAAAATTAATATTATTTGAGTATTATTGTCTTTAGCAACAAATTTGGATTGACGATTAAAACAATTTGATATAAAAATGTATAGTTACATGGGAAATTAACTAAAGACATTGTATATGAAACTCTGATAAGGTTGCATGGCACTTGGACAAAATAGAAAAAAGTATGCAAATTAAAAAATCTTTGTATGGGTTGCACAATCTCCAAGAGTATGGTTTAAAAGGTTTACAAAATCTATGACAACATTTGAATATCATCAAAGTAATTTGACCATACTTTATTTTTGAAGAAATAAAAAGGTAAGATAACTACATTTATTGTATATGTGGATGATAAGATTGTTATAGGAAATGATCTAGAGGAAAGTATCTAGATCCAAGAAATGAATTTTTTATCTCAATGAAAATATGTCTTAGACTTGTTATAAGAAATAAGTATGTCAACTTGTTAGCCAACAAATACCAATTGAGGAATGTTTGAAATTATCTGCTACATCAAATTAGGTTCTAGTTAAAAAACAAAGATACCAAAGACTTGTAAGAAGATTGTTGTACTTAGCATACACAAGACTAGATTTTTCCTACACATTAAGTGTTGTCATAATTCAATACAAACATGTTCAAGTGAATATATTCTATATCAATGAAACGTTAAAAGAAAAAAATTATAAAATTTCTTATGATTCATTAAGAAGACCAACTAGTTGTTATCTTAACAAATATCGTCTCAAATAAAGGTTTCTCAAAATGTCTCGTCAAGTTGACTATATGGGATTTATATGCACCAATTTGAGGGGAGTGTTTCCTTTCTTTTTATTCTCTCACAAATATCATTGTACAAATTATATCTTATTTGATTAGGATTAGTATAATCGTAAAGTATTCTAGTTTCCTAATATCCTAATTAGCCACAACTTTATAACCTATAAATAAATTATAAATATTTTAAAAAATAAATATAATTTAATTTATATTTTTAGGTGTAATACTCTTACATGAAATGTATTAACTAAAAAAATCTCCCTCTCCACCTTGGATGCATATTCCATCGTACAAACAAGCATAATTGAATATGTCTATACATATATTTAATTATATTCGTTTTCATAATTGAATATTATCCATTAAAATATATACTAAGCTACTCATAATTTTAGTATTAATTAACATATATGGATTTGAACACAATTTTTATTTTGGTGACATTTAAGTGATAAGATGACTTTAGGGAATGGAAGAGTGAAAGTTTATGTTAAGCCTGATGATCACCTACTAAGAATGAAGTAAATTGTTAATAAAATATTAATGACAGAACTTTCCAAGGGGGTGAATTGGGTTTTCAAAAATCTTTTGAATTTCTAATCAATTATTTAAAGAACTTTCCTGATAATCAATTATGAAAGAATTATCACAGTTTATAGAAAAACAAGTATACCAAGATAGAGAGAAGAAGAGAAGACACACAAATTTATACTGGTTCGATTATTCTTGAATCTACATCCAGTTTTAACCAAGCAACCTTAGGCTGAAGTTTTTCACTTAATAACATATTTAAAATCTAATCAACTGATCTTGATTTTACACCACTCTATAATCAAGACCAAAGTTCTTGAAAATGCTTTACCTCACAATTTTCAAGTTAAGCAGATGTAGCTAGCCTCACATACATCAAAACATAAAAACAAGATACAAAAGAAAGAGATGAAACGAATTCACCTTGGATTTACAAAATTATGTACCTATAGCCAAACAACCTTTCTTTGAAATTGATCTTCAAAATATTTTACAAAATTTTGCTCTTTCCTTGATGCCCAAAAATGTTCTTTCTAATTGTTTTTATTTGTATTTGAAAGTTGAAATTGATTAAAGAAATTTTGCATCCTTTTATAAAAAGAAAAATTGTTGTAACTATCATAGATAATCAATTAGCAGATTTATCTAATCGATTATTTGGGTGTAGTGGTAGTTTAAAAATAGCAAGATAATCAATTAGGTGCTTACATAATCGATTATTAGTGCATCTTATGAAAACTTAATTTTAAGTCATATAATCGATTAGTCCTTTATCTAATCGATTAGTAGCGCATTATGTTAAAACAAAATTTTTGGCAAATAATCGATTAGGTGACCACATAATCGATTATTAGCATGTTTTATAAAAACTTAATTTTAAGTCATATAATCGATTATCCCTTTATCTAATCTATTATTAGCACGTTGTTTTAACATATTTGATTATTCAAAGTTTGACCTGTTGGCTTTATAGAAAGTAACTATCCTAACTACCTTGACATCATCAAAAAGAGATGTCTTAGTTTATCTTCCCTCTTCTTCAACAATCTCCCCCTTTTTTTATGATGGCCAACCACCAAAGATAAAAGTAATAATATTGGAAGTTCTTTAGTAGTATCATTCAACA